CTCTCTCTCTCTCTCTCTCTCTCTCTCTCTCTCTTGTTATCTCTCCCTCTCGTCTCTCCTCGCTTAGTTAGTAACTTACATGATAAGCCAACAAACCATGTCCAAATTAAGCAACCGAAGCAACGCGTCTTTTTCTTCAGCCCACGATCATTCCTATGATTGCCCACTTTGTATAGCACGTATAGATGTCAGCACCTCTTCTTTAACGATGGAGATTAAACGAAGATAGTAGAGCGGCCGGTTCACGTCCCCGCCTATCGGGATAAACACTCGCCTCCAAGCTCTCCCTGACGTCATACACTCACCAGCCATCGATCACTCCGTACACGACGCACACTCTCGGTCATCCAGGAGCGACAGATGCGTCGCGTGACGTCATTCCTCACCGCTCCTTAAAAATCGCGTCCCGAAAGTAACATTCACCGGAGATTTTTATGTTTTTTTAAGATTCGCGGAAACGTAATCGCATCTAACGTTTAAGTGTAGGCGATCTAACCACCCTCGTTCCTATAAGAAAGACAGCGTCAGTTAGGCGTGCACGGAAAGGACTATCGCTCAGCGAGCCATCATTGGAAGACGTTACTAGTTCCTGTGTGAAGGAGAGTAGACGCCGGTGAATTACTGCCATACTCGGGACGTCGTAATCGATCGAGATTTTCACGGAGGATTGATGTTCCCGACGCGCTGCCACGTTCGCACACGCTAACGAGTGAGTATTACATAATTATATTGCTCCCGAGTTATAAATCCCGTTGCACTCGACAGTTTTATAATTCGTCGGAGTATCTATGATGGTTCCTCAAGTTCCAAAGGCCACGCACGCACGCGCGCAGCCGCGCGCACACACACGCACACACGGGCGCGCACGCGCACGCACACACACACACACGACCTTACCTACACACGCGAGTACACATACGCGAACGCATACCTTACCCGCGCACACACACGCATGCGCGCGCGCACACACACACACACACACACACACACACACACACACACACACANTGAGAGAAGGTAGCAGGGAAGACAACCGAGGGGCGGTGGAAGAAGGAGGAGGCTGAGCGTGCAAACAGGGGAGACAAGGGGAAGAGCGGGCGGGGTTGAAGTAGTAGTTTTGCACACTATTTGCTAGGGCACTCTCCTAATAATAAACACAGGTCTACTGATAAGAATTTATTACAGAAACCTATGCTGAGATACCCCCTGACTATATTAAATGCATTTTCAGCCCAAAGTAATAAACCTCTGGTGAGATATTGCGCATGCGCCCAAATAGTAACGTAGCCAGATTATGTACTGACTGGTATATGCAGCGGAGACCTTACATGCAAGGTCTGCTTACTATTTCATAAGTGAGGTCTACTGATGGAATATTATCATAGAAATCTATGCTGGGATTACACCTCTTCATTTTAAATTCATAATTTTCACAAAATATTATTCTTCTCGCGTGATATTGCGCATGCGCGAGCACCGTTTCAGACGTGCAGTACGGCCTAAAATAAAAGTACGTAATATAGCTTGCTGCGGGAGTGCGGGGAGAGAGACTGAGGGAAGGTCGCAGGGAAGACAACCGAGGGGCGGTGGAAGAAGGAGGAGGCTGAGCGTGCAAACAGGGAAGACAATGGGAAGAGCGGGCGGGGTTGAAGTAGTAGTTTTGCACCCAATTCGCTAAGGCGCTCTCCTAATAATAAACGCAGGTTTACTGATAAGAATTTATTACAGAAACCTATACTGAGATACCCCCTGACTATATTAAATGCATTTTCAGCCTAAAATATAGCTCCTCTGGTGATATATTGCGCATGCGCCCAAACAGTAACGTAGCCAGATTATATACTGACTGGTATATGCAGCGGAGACGTTACATGCAAGGTATGCTTACTATTTTACAAGTGAGGTCTACTGATAGAATATTATTATAGAAATCTATGCTGGGATAATCCCTCTTTATTTCAAAATTCATAATTTTGGCAAAATATTGTTCTTCTCGGGAGATACTGCGCATGCGCGAGCACCGTTTCAGACGTGCAGTACGGCCAAAAATAAAAGAATATAATATAGCTTGCAGCGGAAGAGAGAGGAGAGAGAGACCGAGGAAAGGTAGCAGGGAAGACAGCCGATGGGCGG